TTAGTCATAGCAGCAAAAAAGTTGACTAAACCACCCTCTGCCTCTCTCTTCTTTCCTGTGGTGCTGGGAATCAAGCCTGGGTCCTCATGTATGCCAGGCAAATGCTCTACTACTGAGCTGTATTCCCTTAGCCCCTTGAATCCTTGATTTCAATAAGCGTCTCAGTCTTCACTTCCTGAAACCATATATACAGTCATGTCTAGATCTTGACATCATCTTCACCTGATCTAAATTTGAAGAATTAAAGTCCAGAATGACAATCTGACTACTGGTTCTTCCTATGTTCAAGCTCTCTTACTATTTTATAGCCATGTCTTTTCACTTAGGTCATTGAGAYTTCATGTCCCTCTACTTTTAAAAATTTGTTCTAATTAGTTGTGTATGACAGTAGAATGGACTTTGACATATTATACATAAATGGAGTATAATTTCTCATTCTTTTGGTTGTACATGATGTAGAATCACACTGGTTGTGTTGTCCTATATGTACATAGGGTAATTATGTCTGATWCATGCTACTATTTTTCCTACCCTCATTCCCCCTCCCTTCCCTTCACCCCCTCTACCTAATCTAAAGTAACTCTATTCTTCCCTTGCTGCCCCCAACATTGAAAATTAGCATCATTATATCAGAGAAAACATTCAGATTTTGGTTCTTTGGAATTGGCTTATTTGGCTTTGCATGATATTCTCTAGCTCCATCCATTTGCTGGCAAATGCCATAATTTCATTCTTCTTTAAGACTGAGCAATATTCCTTGTGTAAATATACCACATTTTTTAATCCATTCATCCGTTGAAGGATACCTAGGTTGGTTTAATAGTTTATCTATTTTGAGTTGAGCTGCTATAAACATTGATGTGGTCATGTCACTATAGTATGCTAATTTTAAGTCCTTTAGGTATAAGYTGAGGAGTGGAATAGCTGGGTCAAATGGTAGTTCCATTCCAAGTTTTCTGAGGAAATCTCCATTTCACTTTTAATAATGGTTGCACCAATTTGCAACCAATTTCTTTCACATCCTTGCTAATATTTATTGTTGCTTGTATTATCGAAAATTGCCATTCTGACTGGAGTGAAATGAAATTGTAGAGTAGTTCTGATTTTCATTTCTCTAATTGCTAGAGATGTCGTATATCTTTGTGTATATTAGTTGATTGATTGTATTTCTTCTTCTGTGAAGTACCTGTTCAGATCCTTAGCCCATTTATTTATTGAGTTATTTGTTTTGCTGGTGTTAAGTTTTTTGAGTTCTTTATATATCCTGGAGATTAATACTCTATATGAGGTATATGTGGTAAAGATTTCTTCCCATTCTGTAGGCTCTCTGTTCACATTATTGATTTTTTTMTGAAGCTTTTTTGTTTGAATCCATCCCATTTATTGATTCTTGATTTTACTTCTTGTGCTTTAGGAGTCTTTTTATGGTGAACATTTGGGCCTGCTTTTTTTTTTAACTTCTTGGTCCAATAGAGATTTATAGTGTTATTTCTTTCTTTATCCAATCTAGGCCATAAAAGAATAGTCCTACCTTTTATTGTTCAGAACATGTAATATGCTAATTCCCTTATTTTCTGATATTCCCATTCTGCAAGTTCTAAATGTTGGATCTGGGATACTGGGTGCTAAGGGGGAAGTGACAGGGACCACGACTAATGTGTGGATTCAGTAGGTTCCTCAGCAATTATGTGTCAAATGTCTGCATATCCCTATCTACCCTATCTAGATTCCTCTCCTGAATCCTATAGCATGTTCTAGATCTTCACCACTTTTGACTCTTTCCACACTAATAACATGCTGCAAAACTTGACGGATAGTCTTTCCATTTCTAAGACAAAATAGAAGGAATCATGTTGGACTCCTTCAACATACAATATACCACTCCTTCAAAGGTATCCATGGGAGCTTTTACACGTTCTTTCCTCTGGCCACAGAGAAGAGCATAACTAAAAGATGTTAATATTCAAATATCAGTCTGTGTTCTTGACCTGATCATTTCTCTTTCAGCGATTCCTTCTTTCTCTTCTACATTAAGCTGTCTATATTGTCATTTACTGTCAGTTTTGCATTTGCTATGACCAAAGTACTTGACAAGAACAGTGTAGAGAAGGGAAAGTTTATTTTGGGTCACAGTTTCAGAGGTTCAGTTCATGGTTTGTTGAGTCCATTGCTCTGGGCCCAAGGTGAGGCATAAAATCATGGAAGAAAGGCATGACAGAGGAGTACTGCTCACCTCACTGTGGCCAGGAAGAAAATAGAGGGGTAGAGGCTGATGGAAAGATGTATCCTTCCAGGGCACACCCCTAGTTACTTACCTCCTCCAGTGATATCTCACCTACCTACACTTACCACCAGTCAGTCCATTCAAACTAGGATGGACTGATTAGGTCACGGCTTTCACAATTCAATCATTTTACCTACGAATATTCCTGCATTAACACAGGGGCTTTTGAGGGAAATCTCATATCTTAACCACAACACTTACCTTCTCCATGCTCAAGACTTCTTAAAAAAAAAAAAAAAAGGAAAACCCTCAATGGAATTTGAATCCATCCTTGAGCTGCCAATTCCTTCTCCAAATCAGATGGGTCATTGTCTTTTTATGCTCTTCTGCCTTTAAACCAAATTTCACAACTTTAGCACTATTGATATTTTGGGTTTGATAATACCTTGTTGGGGCCCTGTGTACTCAAGGGGTGTTAGCACCATCCCTGGTCTTTGGTCTTTACCAAGGAGATGCCAGGAGCACTCCCCCTACCAGTTGTGACAATAAAAAGGTCTGTCAAAACTGCAGGGTGTGTGTGTGTGTGCAAAATCATCTCAATTGAGACTAAACTCATAACACTGGCTGTYTTAAACAGGCGTGCACTGAGACTCTGAACAGACCTTGTTAATGTTTCATTATCAGGGGAGAATGTAGCTRATTTTACTACTGGAGTGACCACGATAACAAATAATTTTGTTTTCTTCAGAAGCTATGCTGACGGGAAACCAGTAGTTTTAAAGAGAGAGGAAGTGAATATTCACATCCTGGTAATATTCAGAGTGGACATTAAGAGACCATGTGAGTTTTAGTCAGCTGTTTTGTCACTGTGGCTAAAAGACCTGACATGAATAATTTGAGGAGGGAAAGTTTATCTGGGGGCTAATGGTTTCAGAGGTCTCAGTCCATAGACAGCCGACTCCATTCTTCAGGGCCTGAGGTGAGGCCGAGTATCTGTGGAAGAGTGTGATGGAGAAAAACAGCTAAGGACATCTCAAGAGGAAGGAGGGGGAGAGAGAGAGGCGGGGAGATGGGGAAAGGTGGAGGGAGTGAAGGAGAGAAAGAGAAGGAGAGAGAAAAGGGGAAGGAAAATACTATGCTCAACAAAGACAAAATATAAACCCCAAAGGCCTGTCCCCAACGAACCACCCACCTYCTCCAGTCACACCAGTTACCACCCAGTTAATCCCTATCAGAGGATTAATGTACTGATKAGGCTAAATCTTTTATAATCCAAGCATTTTAATTCTAAACTTGCTTGCATTGTCTCACATGTGAGCTTGTGGGGGACACCTCATATCTAACCCGTAACAGTGTGACTTTAGGTTATTGAAACTTACCTGTGGCAAGATTAAGTGCTATTGATTTTCTTTCCATTAAGGTAACTTCTTTCAGATAGTATTTATATTGGATTACAAGCTGSAGAATTCTTTTTACTGTGCTTGATGGAATAATAGTGAAAGGAYCTGAAGGAAGAAAACATGACTGTAAAGAGAAATGCGTGTCCTCTGAACTGGGGTCAARTTTTAGTGGGGTTTACATATATTGATCCTATTTACATATCTAAGATGCTCATCTTTTAATCTTTGTGAGTTTAGGTACAAATTATGGAATGCTACTGATTAAGACAAGGAGGAAAAAATTGGTTGTGTATAACATTAAGTGCTGGAAGTATCCCTTTTAATTTTAGTAACCCGCATTTAAGTATGGCTGCCTTTGGATTCAACTCTCTAGATTGTTTCCTGGAGTGGGATATCACGGGAGACTGCATTAAGAAAGTTAGAATGAATGCCCTCGGTGAAACCAGGACTAAATGTGATACTAAAGAGGCCTTGAGCTGGCTTTTTTATTTAGAAGTCTTTTCTATGTTGTACAAGCTTTACTGTAACTTTTGAAACCTAATGACATGGTGCCCTGGAATGATGTTTTAAATCAGTTGTTTATAATTTGTTGAGTGCTTGCTATCTTTCAAATCCTGGGCTGAAATCGCAGAAATCTAATTCKCCCATAAATTTTGTGAGATGCTGCATTGTGTCAGAGCCAACTTACCTTGGCTCACAAGAGTAGATTTTGGATATGTCTTTCCAACTCTGTGTTCAGGGTCTTTCTTTCTTCTTCCCTTCTTGCTTTCTTCTCTTCTTTCTTTCTTCTCTTCTTTCCTCCTTTTCCTTTCTCACTTAATCTTTCTTTCTCCCAGGGAACTTGTTGATCAGCATAACACTGAAGATAGGTTCAGTCTTATCTTCATTTTATTGTCCTCATTTTATTGCAGAATTCAGGTTCAGAGATGTAATTCCTTGAACAAGTTTAACTTTTAAAACTACATAAGTTCTTGGGCTCTTCACTGGACATACATGGATGCTAAGACAAKCTTTGAAATTTGGAGTATGCTGCATTTCAGAATATTTTTCATCATGCTTGGTTTTCTAACATGTATTTCCAAAATGTTCCCAGCATTTGTGTTATTAAACCCCTTTCTAGCACTGATCGGTTCTGTGACCCTCAGCAAGTGTTCTCAGCCACTCAACATGGGGGATGTGACCATACTGAGGGACCTTTAAGATCCTGCCCATTCATGCCAGCATTAAAATTCTTATACTTCTARTGATATCTTCTAGAAGATGTCCCATTTAAAAAATATTAATTTAGGATTCCTTAAATAATTCTAGTCTAATTTTTTTGAAGATGCAGTTTTGGCGGTGACATCTGTCATTTTGTTCTTATTTTGTTTTAAAAGTTTCAGAATCTGAAGCTGAAGGAATTCTACTGTGAGGAAAACCCACTTTTCGTGAAGYGGCCAGCCATTGCTCTGCAACAAGAGGACATCTGGAGTTTACAGGTGAAGGTTTACTTCATTCACATAAGTCTTCAAACTAAAGCCATGGTTTAACGTTTAAAAGGTCTTTCTTTTAAAGTGTTCTGGCCAAGCCAACAAATGATTAATGTAACATAAGACCATTGGCAATGTGCATCCTACACATAATTTTTTGACTTGCTTACAAAATCCAATGTAATCCTATCTGATTTCCAGAGTGACTAAACACAGAGAAATGGAAATATTTTGTTGGAACAAAAGAGTGGACTTTATTTTCACTTTGGCCTTCTAAGTACTTTTTCCTGTATCATCTAAAGATGCATTTGATTTGTTTTAGTGGGGTCTTTACCTCTTCTATCTCCTTTTTATTTGTCTCCAATCCTACTGACTGAATGAATATGATCCAGAACTCATGTTTACTTTAGTAAAATAAGATAATTTTTTTTTGTACTTGTAAGTAAACCTGGGGGCAGGGGGAGAGGAAGATGTAAACACTGAGTCACATCCCCAGACATTCTTATTTTTTGAGACAGGGTCTTGCAAAGTTGTGGAGGGTTTCACTGAGTTGTTGAGTCTGGCCTTGAGCTTGTGAAACTCCTGCCTCAGCTTCTTAAGTTGCTGGGATTACAGGCATGTGCCACCATACCAAGCCCCTCATTGGTGATATTAAAAAAAGAAATAGGAAAGCATAGTAAAGCATTGCATTCATAATTGACAAGTTACAGATTGCAAATCCTCCCATATTTGGGTATCATGAATTTGGACTTCTCCCAGATCCATTTAGGTCTTAGCTGAGCATGTAAGGTTGTCATAAGACTTTCAGGAATTGTATAGGGTTCACATTTCCTGTTGTAGGAAACAACCAACCTTTTTCAATGGCTTAATTTGTTTTAAAATACATTTCCCTCCTTTTTGTATAAATCATACATACTAATTACTGAAAACTAGAAAATACAGATGGACAAAGAAGAAACTAAAAATTAGTTATAATATACTGCTTTGGGAAGATTCTTACCATGAGTAGAGAAATTAGAAACTGATAAAAAATACTCAGAATTCTAGTGTGCATAGATATAACCACTCTTCTCTGTGACATTATTGTTCTAGAAACTTCCTATGCATTCAGATGTGTTTTAAATCAAAGATGAATTCAAACTCTATACATTAAACTTGTTTTTTTCACTTAAAGTATTGTGAATTTTTTTCCAGTCAGGAAAAGAGATTGACATCTTTTTTGATAGAAATATGGCATTCTGTTATGTCATAACATTTTAACTACTTCTGCCTATTTGAATTATAAATAAGTTTTGGCTTTTTGGTTTTTATAGACAGGCAACAATGACCATACTCACAGTAAATGCCTAGCTCATGTCCACATTATCTCCATGAATGAAATTGGTGGGACAAAGATATGGATTCTTTTACAGATTATTTCTTTTCAAATTTTCCTTCTAGAGAATATTTCTATAAAGAATATTATTTCCTACTGTTGTGTGAAAAAATACTCATTTTTGAAATTMAATCCTAAATCATTGAAAAATTGTAGCTTTCAATTTATTTAATTCCTTACAACTCATTTTTCCTCCTGCATCAGAAWAGTACAGAATATTTCTGAATATCAGCAGCTAACACTTATTTAAGCTTCCTATGAGCAAGGCAGGAGTGTTCTAAGTATTTAGCAGGAATGGATAATGCAGTTCTTTAATAACAATGGAAAGGTAGGTACCATTATGGTCCCCTTTTTATAGAGAAACAGACCCAGAAAGGTTATATGACCTGTTCAAGGTCACAGAAATAGTGTTTGGATATTGATATAAAGTTAAACAATTGAACATTAAACTTCTACTGCAACATTGCCTCAGAAATTGGATGAAGGAAGGTGAGGAAAGTGGAGCCTGGGTAGTCCTGGTCTGAGGAGATTCTGATTTGTGAAGGAGGCTGGATGACCAGGTAACCCAATATGGCAGCAATCTCTCAGACAGACTTCAAGGGCAAGAATGTTGCCAACACTCAAGGTGACACAGCAATATTTCTTTCTCCTAATTTTCAAAACTATAAGGTCCATAAGCACAAGAGCTAATTTCATATGCAAACAAGCATCACATGTAATACATAATATAAATATATGCTTTATATTCATAAGAATTACTATTTTCTTGCAGTATGTGAAATATTTGGGTATTTAAAAAAGTATCTCTAAGAATTTTTTAGAAAGGTAACTTAAGTTTATTATAAATTTTAAATTTGTACTTAAAGTCATAGTCATCTTGACTAGATTTTTGGTTAATGTTACTGATTAAACTCCCTCCTTTGGGTGTCAAAAAATTGTAGTTTTGAAATAGTCATGACTTGGTAGAGAATTTTTAAAAACTTCTTCATCTCAGAGATAGGTAAGCTAAAACTGAATGTTCATAACTAAGTTATAACAAAATATTAACCAGAATATATTGCATTATACCTGCTATGCTGTTTTACCAGTGTTAGCTGATTGAATTCTCAAAACTCTGTGATGACATTGGAAAAATCCTTATTTTTCAAAGGAGGAATACAAGATCAGAGATGTTAAAGGCTTGTCCAAATAGGATTGCAAAGCTTATAAATCCCAGAACCAGGATTTGAACCTCTGTATCTCTTTGAATCTGACAGTGAATTCTTTTTGAATTCCTTAGTGCCTCTCATATACAACATGACAGCTGTTTTTGAAATAGTTACAAAGCCTATAATTTCTTCTAAGGTTTCATATTTGTTTTTACATTTAAAATTTTTTATGCTTATATAAATACAAATCATAGCTGTATAATCTCATAACATAAATGAAATAATCACATGTAAGGAAAAATAAAATAATTCCCATGAAAATAATTCCAATTTATGATGAATTAGAAATAGGAATAACTGACCTGCTTATAGTTGGCTTACAAATATTCTAATGATAACATATAAGCTATTCAAAATTAACAATTTATTTGCCTATAAAAGATATCCTAATTTTTAATAACACTGTACTTAGGCCATTACTAAATTGTTTATTGCCCCCTAAAATGCATTGAATATATCTCTAAGAGGTGTTCTAAAAGGTACTATTGTTCAGGTAAATAGTATTTTACTTCATATATACTTGCATTTCCAGGTAATAGCTTTACTTTATATTTTAATGGTGTACATTTATTCCTCCAAAGTAACACATTGGCAGCAAATAGAAGAATATAAATAAAGGTTGATGTCAGAATTGTCAAGATATACTGAGTGCAACTAAYATGTTTGGGTCCAGCAATCATGAAGGGGAAAAGTGATCTATACGAACCTATTTATAGGTCCCATGCATTTCAACAAATTCTGTTTGGGGCTGATGAATACTTACCCATGAATTTTCTTCAGCTTTTTAGTGAGACCTAGCCACTGAATTCATGTAGCTAACAATGTATTTCATTTAGAATCACCAGCTAGGCTCTGCTTACATAGTTTGAAAAAGGGGGACATTGAACATCTGAATTAGGAGTTCTGGTAATATTAGTGCTTTCAGATTCATTCTTTCAGCTGACCTCAGTCCTATAACYACCCAGGAGAATGAGCTGAATCCGGTAGGAGGATGTGCTATTGAAGGATCAGACATTTAAGGAACACACACTCAGGGTTGTTTGCAGCAACTCCCTAGTCTCTTGTTAACTGGGAGGGATGAGGTAACAGGGAACAGGGCTCTAGGAATTTGTAGGAGTTTGTTTTTATTTAAAAAATTTTAAAGATTTTAATTGGGGTTAATGAGTGAAAGATTATGTATGTATGCATGCGTGCATATATTCCCAAAGATTCCTATCAGAGCCTGATGTAGACTATTCTTATCCTCCTGGGAATTCTTCAGTTTGGCCAGGAAAAAAAGTGTTCTAAGTAAACTATGCCCATATACCATTAGCATTTCAAGCAGTGTTTGTGTTACATTTATACAGGACTTCTGTGCTCCTAGCATAGACAACGGGCAGCATTTAGGGAGTGAGGCAAATGTTTGTGTTCTTAGTGAAGATTTGATTTTACATATTATATATTATATACTTTTACTTTAGGATGATATGTTGCTGATGGTCATGGCAAAAGGCAACTTCCATTTCCTCACTACCTCTATTATTATTTAATATTATAATATTATGATTGCACAAATCAGTTGAACACCTATGTAACCAGGTCTAACAGAAGTTGAATTCAGAGATTTAGTTCATAGAGATTATTGCTCTTGAACAAGGTGGCATATTCAAGTACTTAATACGGCTAATCATTTAAAACAGCCCTTCTTAAACTTTAATATGCACACAGATTACTGGGGCACTTTGTTGAGATTTTGATTCCGTACAACTGGTATATAGTCGGGATTCTTCATTCCTGATAAGCTGCTAGTTGATGAAGATGATACTGGCTTGTAAGCCATAATTATAAAAATTATTTAGACCTTAGTGAATATGATACACTCAATTTTTGAGTCCAGTCAGAATGTTTGTGCAGTCCTGCTTACTATAATGAAATATACCAAATTTGAGCCTAAACTATGTATTACTTTATTAAACAGGTAGTGMAAATTTATTGTGACTTTGATTTCTGTATGCGGGAGACATAAATGTATTACCATGGAAGCAACTTACTTATATTAATTAAAACCAAACTTATTTACAATGTCAGTCCTTTACAACCTAATTCATTATACTGAAGAATCTTCATTTAACAAAAACTTAGGAATAAGAAATTTGAATTAGTAATATGGGAATCAATGTAATGTAAGATTTAAAAAAAYAATTTTAGAAACCATATTCTTCTTTTTTAATTTAGGAAATAACATCAAGATATGTCATGAATCAGCTAGCAAAAAAGCATCCTTTCCTAATGTGTGCTATTGAACAGTATCCAGAGGTCAGGAACTTAATCTCTCAGGGAAAAAAATGTCCAATATGTGGAAAATATTTTTTATCCATATGGCTGGAATGTGTTCGGTTCATTCCTCCACCAAAGGTAAATGGTACTTTCCTGTGAATATGAACATGAGGCACACTCCCATGTTTTGTCCTTATTTTTAAAATCTACCTGTACTAAATAGATTTATATCTAAGCATTGACTTCTATGGTAGTAGGTTAATTTGGGGTCGATAAATTTGTGTATCTGGCAATGATAATCATGACCCATTTACTTTCACACTTTTTATGAGAACATACTTTCTATCAAAGTTCCAAGGAAATTTGAAAATTTGTAATCAGTAAATAATTTTTCATTATTTTTATTAATAAAACCAGAACTCTGTTCTCTTAGGGAGAAGAATTTTTCAGTAGTCTATAATGTCGTTTGGGTGGAAAACAGGTGCACATGCTGGTTACTTTGTGTCATAATGATATTTTAGAACACCAAATGCGCCAGGATGTGAGCTATAGCATTATGTCACCTGGAAGTTAAGCACCCCTGGCCAGTTTGTAGCTCATAAACCATGTTCTAGACCAGTGCCCAGCAGGTTCCTTTTTCTAAAATTAGCCAAATAGTGAATATTTTAGGCAACGTGGTTCTTGTCACAATTACATAACTCTCCTTAGTAGCATGAAGGCATGTGTAGACAATGTGTAATTGAATGTGTCTATATTTCAATACAACTTTATTTATGAACCTAAATTTTTAATTTCATATAATGTTCACATATCACTAAATATTTTTTCCTAATTGTGTAAAATGTGAAAACTCCAGTTCATGTGAATTACGGAAACAGAATGTGGGCCAAATTTGGACCAGGAACTGTAGTTTTCCTATATCTGTTCTAGACCATCCAACATATGTTCTTGATGTCATAACTTCCTCTCTGCTTTTGGTGAACACTGGCCTTTCTTGGGACAGCACATAGTGCAATGGTTGGTAATAATGTTAAATAAATGAGCAAACACAGATGCAGTTCCTGTCATTCTGAAGATTATCATCTGGTGAAAGAGGCCAACATTAAACAAATGAACACACATGCAATTTAAAATTGTGATAAATATTATGACATGGACAGATAATATATTATTTTGTTAAGGCTTATGTAACAGTACCACATACTGGGTGGCTGAAGGAACAGAAATTATTCTTTCTCTGTTCTGGAGGCTTGTAGTCAAATGTCAAGTTATTGGCAGGTTTTTTTCCTTCTGAGAATTGTGAGGAATAGTCTGTTCCAAGCCTCTCTCCTTGACTTATAAGTGGCTCTCTTCTCCCCACGTCTTGTCACATTCTCTTCCTTCTCTATGCATCTGTGTTCAAATTTCCCCTTCTCACATCTGTCATATTGGATTAGGGCCCATTCTAAACTCTTTGTGTGTGTGTGTGTGTGTGTGTGTGTGTGTGTGTGTATGTGTGTGTGTGTGTTTGGTACTGGGTATTGAACCCAGGGCTTAAGCATGCTAGGCAAGTGCTCTATCACTGAGCTACATCCCCAGCCTAATGACCTCATTATAACTTGACTACTTTTGCAAAGGTCTTGTCTTCAAATGAGATTATCTTCTAAGGCACTGGGGGTAAGGATTCACCCTTCTGTTTTTTCAGGGGTGGGATACAATTCAAATCATAACATGTAGATGTCATAAACAAGGAACAGAGAAATTCCCTTTTAAAATCTGGGATAAAGAAAGTCCTCACTGAGGAAAGGACATTTTAACAGACACTTAAGAGACGAGGAGGAGTTGCTTCAATAAAGAAGTAGAGAAGAGCATGTCCAGGGAGGGGGAACAGTGTGTATTAAGTTTGAGATGGGAAATCACTTACTGATTTGAGGAACTGAAAGGCAGTTCAGTCTGATTGAAGAGTATTAATCGAAAGTGACACTGAGGTAGGCAAAAGTTGTTTCACAGAATACCAAGCAGTCCTCACTCAGGAATTTGGCTTTTACTCAATATGCAATGAAACCTAGCTGAAGGATTTTAAGTAAGAGTGACATATCCTGATTTGTATTTCAAAAAGGTAACTTCTGAGTGGAGGGTGGATTAGAAGAAGGTGAGGAAATGAGGATATTAGGCAGAAGGCTATCATCCCAAACTGGGTGAGAGAGAAGGATGGTGGAGACAGTGGAGATAGATGGATCTGAGTGAGATATGTTTGCAGGAAGAAGTAAGAAGACTTCCAGTTTTCCCGCTTAAATCACTACATGAATGCAGATGGCTTTTTGTTGATATAGGGATGACTAAGGGAGAAGCAGGTTTGTTGGGGGAGAGATAGAAGTTCTGTTTGGGCATGGGAAGTGTGAAATTCCTACAACCAGAGAATATGAGCAGCTTGAAGCCCGACTCTGATCCAGTGTGCTGGGAATCTAGAGTTGTGGATATGCGAGTTTGTGTGGCGGGAGGCAGTGGGGGGCAGATTTTGGAGCAGAACTATATGTATGATCTCTTATATCATTTCTACAGAGTGTGATTCTAAACCTTGTGGTTTTAGCGATTGAAAGTGTCATTCCACTGAGGCAGTCTTTGTGCTAATAAAGGATCTCAGCTGAGTTGGCTTACAGCTGCCTCAGTGGATCTTATCACACTAATCACTCACCAAACTTACCTACAAAGCTATTTAAAAATACAGACATTCCATTCCACACCTACTAAATCAGAATCTGTGGATATAAGGCCCTGGGCATCTACAATTTTATCAAGTTTCCCTGTTGATTTTCATGTGCAATCAGGGCGGGGAATCTCTGTCCTTCTTGTTCAGGGCTGTCATTTTTAGTGAGCAAGGACTCCTCAGTGCCTTATCCATAGCTGAGAGCAAGACTCATTGATTGAATGTATGAATTAATGAATGACCTCTAGTGACCAAGGTGAGATATGAATAATAGTCAAAAAGAAAAGGCGAGARTTGGTGAAGGGGTAAATCCACTGTGTGTATGGGTGACCAACACATATTTTCATTTGGCTTCCACCTGGGAACCCCTGAGTAAATCCCCAGGAAGTCAGCTTGAGAGCACATTGTAGAGTTTTCTCTCCATCTGTCTGCTTCTTGGAAGTCATGCTGAAAGGCTTTCCATTTATCCGGCTGGAAGCAGAACAAAGGCTCCTACAGCAGAGATCTGTGTTCCTAAGTGTCTTTGGAGCCAGGATTAGGGCTCTCACAGCTGTTTCTTCCCCAAGGACAGTCGGGAGCTTATGGGGATGCTGATAATGTATTTTCGCTAGCGTTATTAGTTGCTGTTTCATAGGTTTACGTTTCTAACTGCTGGATGAGATCATCACTACTTATATTTCAGAGCTATATTAGGTTTCTCCAAACTGTTAATTGTGGGAATTTCTTTTATGAAATTAGCTGTGTGCCGTTCATGATAAAGTCCAGTAAGAACAACTACTTTTCCCCACCAACTTTTCATTTTGAAAAAAATTTGAAATCAGCTCAAAAACTTGAGTGACTAATACAGTGGACATTTTTTATACTSTCAACCTAAAGTCATCAAGTTTTAGTAGTTTGTTTCATTGGCTTCTTATATTTTTGCCTTTAAAATTCATTTGGTCTAGAACAAATTGGGATGACAAAAACCAAGAAAAGTTCTTACCTAGAGAGATTGTATCACTTTCTAGGATAAAAAGAAAAGATTCTGATTCAAAGAAATAAAAATAAATAAGTATCTGTGCTTCATATCAAGCAGAGAGTTTTTATCAAAAGTAACCCCAGTTGATGGTCCATAAAATATGTAGGTTATTTTAGCTGTAATAAGCCATGAATAGGTTGTGGAGGTTCCCAGTATTAACTGTTCACATCTAAGAAGCAGAACACAGATTTTATTGTATTTTATTTATTTATTTTTTAGTTGTCAATGGACCTTTATTTTATTTATTTATATGCAGTGCTGGGAATTGAACCCAAGGCCTCACACATGCTAGGCAAGTGCTCTACCACTGAGCCTGTACAATCCAGCTCCAGAACACAGATTTTATAAGAACCACTTTAAGTAGATAATTTATAATTCTGTAGGATGAAATTTGGATTGTCACTTAGTTCACATCACCTGATGTCAGGTTTTTACCCAGGAATGTTGTGTAGCAGGCGACAGGATTGCAGAGCAATGGGATTTTACTCCAATGAGTAAGAGATCTAAGCCAGCTATGGTTGTGGTATGGAGCTTCTAAAATTTTTCTCACAATGTCTTTTGCCATAGTTTTTGAATCCAGCAAGTATTTGCAAATGTTACACATATTATACAAAAAGGYAGGGGAAATCTCTCAAAAATAGAAGGAACACAAATAGAGTAGAGGAAGGGGATTGAGAAGGAGGGAGAAGAGAAGGGCATGGAAAAGTACTGGGGAATAAAGTCTACAAAATTCTGCTATATCTATGTGCTAATATACTACAATGAATTTAATATACATAGAACAGTGCACAGATTAAAACAACAACAATAATAGGAGATCAGTGGAGTAGATCAAATAGATTGGGGGAAGGGGAGAGGAGGGGAAAGAAAAGGAAGGTACAAGCTTGGTCAAATTATGTGCATATATGAATATTGCAAAATGAATTCCTCTGTCATGTAGAGTTATAATACACCAATAAAAATAAATAAAAGAAACAAAGACTACTAATCCAAATAGAAAAAATGTTATACATGATAACCCACTTCTTTATGAATGAGCTCTCACTCATCACAAAGGAATGATGCTAAAAYAATTCAGAAAGTATATGGGTCTCATTCCTCATATAAACCATTTCTAAGAAATTTGTACCATCACCATAATCACCATAATTGGCAAGAGATTTGTAAAATACTTTCTTGAGGAATTGGGAGCCTAAATGGAAGGTTAATTTTCCCCACTCTTAATCCACTCATGAAAAATCATGTCTGTACTAGGCAGATCTACTTGATCTTAAGAAAATGAATTTTAAAAAAGAAACATTTAATCAAAGAAAGTGTCCTCAACCCAGCAACATGTATATAAGCCTCTATTTTAGTGATTATATGCCTACAGAAGTTCCTTTTGAATAAGAAACTGCCATTTCAATTGTCTAATCCTTTAACACATTGATGCTC